GTTGAAATTCTATGTAGGCGGCCTTCGGCCGCGCTTAGGCATTACATTTCTTACTACTTAAGTAGAATTCCAAGTAGAGAATTTCGTTTACTTGGGAACCAGCATTAACACCGATAATAATGTCAGCATTGAAATCCTACGCAGAATCACTCTTGCCAACAAGTGCTACTTTGGACTGAGTAGGCAATTCAGGAGTAAAGTCCTCTCTCGACGTACGAAAACCACGCTCTATAAGTCACTCATCATGCCCGTGCTGGTATATGGCGCAGAAGCATGGACAATGACAACATCCGATGAGGCGGCTCTTGGGGTGTTTGAGAGAAAGATTTTGCGGAAGATTTACGGTCCTTTACGCGTTGGCGACGGCGAGTACCGCAGACGATGGAACGATGAGCTGTATGAGCTTTACAACGACATAGACATAGTGCAGCGAATTAAAATACAGCGGCTCCGCTGGCTTGGCCGTGTCGTTCGAATGGACACCGACGCTCCAGCTTTGAAAGTATTCAACTCTGAACCCGCTGGTGGTAGCAGAGGAAGAGGGTGGCCCCCACTGCGATGGAAAGATCAGGTGGAGAAGGACTTGGCTTCACTTGGCGTTTCCAATTGGCGTCAGTTGGCACAGAGGAGAAACGACTGGCGTGCTTTGCTGAACTCGGCCAAAATCGCTTAGGCGGTTACAGCGCCAAAAAAGAAGAAGAAGAAGTAGAATTCCCCCTTCTGTCTTGCGGTCTTCGACCGCGTTTAGGATTTATATCCCTTACTAAGTGGAATTCTCCTTTTTGTTGCCGGAAAAGGCCGCCGGAATTATTTTTGCGCAGAACTTCTTTCTGCGTAGGCGGCCTTCGAACGCGCTTACGGATTATAACCCTTACTAAGTAGAACTCTCCTTTCTGTGTTGCCGGAAAAGAAGGGCGGAAGTATTTTTGCGCAGAATTTATGTCTGCGTAGGCGGCCTTCGGTCCCGCTTAAGGATTAAAACCCTTACTAAGTAGAATTCTCCTTTCTGTGCTGCCGCAAAAGGGGGGAGGAAGAATTTTTGAGTAGAACTTCTATCTGCGTAGGCGGCTTTCGACCGCGCTTAAGGATTATAACCCTTACTAAGTAGAAGTAAATAATTCATATTAGAAAAAAACGAAATTATTCATATGCACACTTTCGTTAGAAAACTGAAATAATGCATATAACAAAAACCAAAATAATGCATGCATGTATAATTTCGGTTCAAAACCGAAATAATGCATATGTGAAAGACAAAGTAAGGCATACATACAGAGTTTCGGTTGAAACCGAGATAATGCATATAACAAAACCCCAAATAATGCATGCATGCATAATTTCGGTTCAAATTCGAAATAATGCATATGTGAAAGACTAAGTAATGCATACATGCACAGTCTCGGTTGAAAACCGAAATTATGCATATGAGAAAATACCGAATTTATGCATACGCATACTTTCGTTTTAAAAGCGAAATAATGCATATGAAAAAAACGAAGTAATGCATGCATGCACAGTTTCGGTTGAAAACCTAAATAATGCATATGGTAAAGACCGAAATAAAGCATACATGCACAGTTTCGGTTGAAACCGAAATAATGTCTAAATGCACAGTTTCCATATGCGCAATTCGGTGCCCCGTGCACATAGGCACACAGCAGTATGCTTGCGCGGAGTTTGCATAATCGGAAATAATAATAATTTTTACCGCATTTTCTCTTACTCTGCATATGTCTAAATATATGCAATCATTTGCAATAGCAAGTAAACACAGGGTGCGTCTAATGAAATTAAAAATTTTCTGCTGAAATAGACATGCATGCCCTTGGAAATTTTCTGCTGGGCTATGCGTTACAGCCGGTGTTGCCAAACATGGGCCTTTCCTACCAAAACTGGAAAGTTTTTTTCCATTTGGTAGGTTGGTAGGCTTGATTGGATTTTAGTAGGTTTCGGGACAATGAGTAATAGGTATTTGTGAAAAATAGAAAATATGTACGTATCTCCAAATATTTTAGCAACCTTTTTTACACAAATATTTCATCGGTGCGTTCGTATAATGGCGGCCACAAATATGTAAATATACCTGATTCATAAGTACAAACGTTTACCTTATTATTGCCAATATGCAACACGGACATCCATATATCGTGACCTAAGGGTGAAAAGGTGCCAAGTCCATTTTTAGAAATTTTTCACGAGAGACGAAAAATCGATGTAGTTTCGTATTACCTGTCATTCTGCATCAAAAATTAAACTTTGAAAAAAAAAACGTACTTGGAATCTTTTCACCTTTAGGTAGCGATATAATTTATGGCGTACTTGGACAAAGATTCCACAAAAGTCTGCCAATGGGCTCGTACTCAAGCATATTTCAGACGGAAGTCTTCCCAATCGAAGTCTGTGTTCGCGAATGTCAATGTAGAAGGCAAATGAGGCCAGAATAAATATTCTGTTGGACATACAGGCAGCGTTAAAGGCCTTAGAGTCCTTTAAAACTGCATCAAGGCTTGTAAACTCTTGAACCACCTGCGAGCCCACAATAGCGTCACGCATGAATGGTTTGAAAGCAACGAAAGGGCTGACTGTCTCGCAAAGCGTGAAGCCCAAATGCAGAAATACTTAGGAGCTAGCTGGGAATAATCTCAAATTGCTTCCTACTGGCGAAGTCAAAGGGAATAAGACAATGAAAGATATGCATAACTCTTTCCAGCAGGAACTACGAAAGACACCTTGAACTTAGAACTCTTACTGGCAACCTGACAGCACACTGCAAGTTAACGTACGGTTTTAATTAAATGGGTCTTTCTGTAGGACTGTCGGCTGGTGAAAGAAACCCCAGAGTATATTCTATGTGCCTGTCGACGAAGCATGAATCGTAGTTGATACACCTTGGAGAACGATTGCCTTCTCCATCTAAAATTTGGAACATGGCCTCATCCAAAGTTCTGAGCTTTTTAAACAGCCTAAGGTTGGAGTGATTACAATTTTGATTTAGCATAACATATCTTCTTAGGTCGCAGCGCGGGTATTTTCGACGTAATAGTAATATTATCGTCACTTGACACGAATAAAGGCTCGGAGAGTTTTGGTGAGTTCTGGAGAATACTGTTGCACTCGAAAATATAGTTGACCGCGGACATAAGTTTATGGGTCTTTCTTCGCTGTCAAAGAGGTTAACGCGGCTTTATTTGCCGTCACCTATGTTAAGGGTCTTTCTTCTCCGAAATTTTTTTACGCCTCTTTTTTCGCTATCAACTTTTGAGCTCGCGTCTTTATTCGTATCTTGTGACGATATGTATGTATGTGTAAAGAGACATATGTACATATGGACAAGTCTGTACAGTAAAATGAATCTNTGCCAATGGGCTCGTACTCAAGCATATTTCAGACGGAAGTCTTCCCAATCGAAGTCTGTGTTCGCGAATGTCAATGTAGAAGGCAAATGAGGCCAGAATAAATATTCTGTTGGACATACAGGCAGCGTTAAAGGCCTTAGAGTCCTTTAAAACTGCATCAAGGCTTGTAAACTCTTGAACCACCTGCGAGCCCACAATAGCGTCACGCATGAATGGTTTGAAAGCAACGAAAGGGCTGACTGTCTCGCAAAGCGTGAAGCCCAAATGCAGAAATACTTAGGAGCTAGCTGGGAATAATCTCAAATTGCTTCCTACTGGCGAAGTCAAAGGGAATAAGACAATGAAAGATATGCATAACTCTTTCCAGCAGGAACTACGAAAGACACCTTGAACTTAGAACTCTTACTGGCAACCTGACAGCACACTGCAAGTTAACGTACGGTTTTAATTAAATGGGTCTTTCTGTAGGACTGTCGGCTGGTGAAAGAAACCCCAGAGTATATTCTATGTGCCTGTCGACGAAGCATGAATCGTAGTTGATACACCTTGGAGAACGATTGCCTTCTCCATCTAAAATTTGGAACATGGCCTCATCCAAAGTTCTGAGCTTTTTAAACAGCCTAAGGTTGGAGTGATTACAATTTTGATTTAGCATAACATATCTTCTTAGGTCGCAGCGCGGGTATTTTCGACGTAATAGTAATATTATCGTCACTTGACACGAATAAAGGCTCGGAGAGTTTTGGTGAGTTCTGGAGAATACTGTTGCACTCGAAAATATAGTTGACCGCGGACATAAGTTTATGGGTCTTTCTTCGCTGTCAAAGAGGTTAACGCGGCTTTATTTGCCGTCACCTATGTTAAGGGTCTTTCTTCTCCGAAATTTTTTTACGCCTCTTTTTTCGCTATCAACTTTTGAGCTCGCGTCTTTATTCGTATCTTGTGACGATATGTATGTATGTGTAAAGAGACATATGTACATATGGACAAGTCTGTACAGTAAAATGAATCTTTATACGCAGTTAATTTGTTTTTATTAATCTAGTTGTGTTTTAGTTTTACTAGTTTATGTTAACTATGTTTTTAAAAAATTTGACATTGAAAACAAAAATTAAAACTCAAAAAAATGTTTGGTACGTTTTGGTTGGTTATGGTAGGAAAAAAAATTTGTCTGTGGCTGGTTACAGCTTCGCAAATTTTACCCCTACCGAAACCAAAGATGTATACACATCAAAAATCTATAAACATAGGCCATACTATTTCTCATAACATCGAATAAAATGAGGGGGTGGGGTCTTGAAATCTCCAAGAAAAGCATTCGATGGGCACCCTAATATACATGTGTACATACATATATGTAGTATGTACTCATGTGCATGTAAAAACATGTAGTTATAAATGTAAAGAAATACATATGCTAGCATGTATGTTAAATGATTGACACAATTACTTTTAAAAAATTAACATTAAGCTTATACATACATATGTATAATCGTACCTTGCCATCACTTATTGTTTTAAAATACTATTGTCGTTTATTTGCACAACCATATACATTTATAAATACATTTACATACATACATCCTATACATAAGCTGATATTTGTAACAATCGTTTAATGAATGTAATTTTTCTGTATTTCAGTTCCAAAGTTTGCGCGGATCACTAGAATCTATCGCACGTACCAGTTTATGTGAAAAGTATTCAAATGTTATCAGCCCGAGAACAGTTTTTTACGTCTTCCAGTATGCCTACATCGGCGTTGGGACTGGGCTTTGATGTCGTTGATGAACGGCGATGTGCCATCCCTGTCTATAACTCAACTACAGTGCCATTGGCCAGTATGAATGGTTGGCGGAGTGGTGGAAGTGTTTTTTCTTCTGCACCTTCCACCGATGCTACGTCTCAAACGGTCGAGACCCACCTGGAGCAACAGCAGCCAAAATCGCAGATGGGAAAAGGCATTAATAGTAATTGTTGTAATGGTAAAGCGGAGAAAAGTAGTGATGAACCCATTTCGAACTTACCTTCACGCCAGCCTGTCGACATTGAGTTCAAAGATCTCTCACTCACCGTACAAATGGGCTTTGGAAAAGGTAAATAAATACTCGAACTATGCTAATTTAACGGTCTAAAAAACTTGTACATTTTTAGTGTAGACTAGGAAAAAATTCAATAGTAAACGAAACTCTATGGATGTACATATGCATCTGGGTCCTTCGCATTAATTTTAAATATTCGCATTCGCAGTAATCAATGCGGAGCTTTTGCGAATGCGAATGTTGTGCAAGTGCACTGATAAAACGTATATCTGGCAAACAATATGACAAACTGTAGCCAATATGTTTTGCCTGTGGCGATGCGACGTTACGTCGAGTTACCCGGACGCCGCCTATATTTGTGTAATAAGACTGGTTAAAAGTAAGAAATATCAAATTTGATACAAGTGTTTTTAAACATACATATTATTTTTCAGTCCTACATGTTCCCACTTCTAGTTGTTCTTTGGCGTACGCCAAGGAGAACAAGTTCTTTTAATATAAAAAAAAAAAAAAAAAAAAAAAAAAAAAAC